CAACTGTTTGTTTGATGCTTGCTTTACATAAATACCACGTTTACACTCTAATTTAGGAAAATTTCCGCTGTCAAATTATTACTTTTAGTTTAAATCAAACAATAAAAGTTGTGAGAATATTGTATTCTATACATCTTAATTCTGATTCATATCTTGTGAAATTTGCTGAATATAATTTGTGTCACACAAGAAAAAAACATCAACTTTGTAGATTTAAATTTGCACCAAAGAGCTGAGACGTATTTCATTTATATCTTTATCTGACATAAAATAAACAGGAAAAAGCTTTTAAGTTGATGTTGATCAACTTTTTTAAAAGTTTTATTCTAACTTAATTTGTTAGAATGTCCTGCATTCAAGCGTTTGCCCCAAAATAAGACATCTTTTAAAAACGTAGAGATGAAGATTTAGTATTTTTACATGAAAATAAACTACAAGTAAAACAAAATTCATGTATTGTTCTTATTTAAGCAACAATAATGTTCAGGTAATTTTCAGAAACACAAACACTTAATACATTTGAATATTTTACCAAAAATTTTTAGACAATAAATAATTTTTTAATAATTTTTTTTTTGCCAATTTGCACTGATAAAATCCTAATTGAGCTTTTCACAGATTAAATCTGAGGTGTACTGTTGGTTCAGTGTGTGTGTGTGTGTGTGTGTGTGTATGTGTGTGTGTGTGTGTGTGTGTGTGTGTGTGTGTGTGTGTGTGTGTGTGTGTGTGTGTGTGTGTGTGTTTGTGTGTGTACAGTCGCCAGACTTCCTGACTCTCCCGCTGTCGGACACTTGTGAACGCAGCATTGGCTCTTTGTGTCTCAGCACTCTCATCTGCAACCACAAGGTTCAAATGACCACCGGCTGCTGGCGGTCTGCGCCGAGCTAGCCTGAAACCCCACAGCCTCATCTGTCACAGGCAAAGAAAAATCATTAAGACCTCCACCTGATAAAAAGCCAAGACTCCATGTGTGCTGCTCATTTAGAGCTATCAGTGACCATGCAGCACTCTAGTTTCATATGAACTCTACTACCAACTGCGGGCGGAGGCAGAGGCTGTTTTTGCAAGAGGAAAGAAAGTTGTGGGTTATTTTGGGGATGATGCTCACCTTAAGAGCGACGGTGGCACAGGAGTTAAGAGCTCGCCCCGTAATCGGAAGGTTGCAGGTTCGAGCCCCGCTCAGTCTGTCGCTGTCGTTGTGTCCTTTGGGCAAGACACTTAACCCATGTTGCCTGCTGGTGGTGGTCGGAGGGACCGGTGGCGCCAGTGCTCTGCAGCCTCGCCTCTGTCAGGGCGCCCCAGGGCAGCTGTGGCTACATCGTAGCTCATCCCAACCAGTGTGTGAATGGGTGAATGACTGATTCTGTTGTAAAGCGCCTTGGGGGGTTCCAGGAACTCTAATACAGTTACGCGATCAAAAACAGGCCATTTACCATTTAAGACCGTCTTTAGCTGTCAAAACGTTCCTCCAGTCTGACCATGAATGAGCCGAGAAGCATATGGTCTTCATTTAGTTTGAAATGCACAAATGCAGAAGTCTGCCTGATCCTAAATTACAAGTGATCATGTGGTGCAGCTGAGGGTCTGTGCTGGGAATTCCTCGCAGGCTCTTTGGAGAAATAGATGTAACCCAACCTTTCTACATCACAACTGTTATTAATGATGCATTTTTAACATTTAAGCGACTGTTCACATTTATTTAAGTGGGTTTCAATGGAACGTTCATGAGCAGTTAATATCTTACCTGCTGTAGATAACTCTTGAGATGGCCTCAGTTTGTAGAAACTGAGACTAATTGTGACCACACTGATGAGCTAACAGTTAGCCACATCAGGACCAGATTCAGAAAAAAGAATAGGAACAATTATTAGTTGTTTTTAGAATATTGACCCTTTGCATGTGCCGTCACGTCATTGATGTGACCACCCGTCGCCATGATGGATGGCAGAGAAACTGTTTATGTACATTGTAACTCCTGAGAAGCTGGTCAAAACAAGTCAGCAGCCTTGAATTGCTTTTATTTCATTGATTTCTCAGTAGAATGGTAATGGTTTGCTGCATGATTGGCTGCACTAACAGACAAGGTTGTAAACTCATCTTGTCTTGATATTGAATAACTGAAGTAGAACGAAGACGCCAATGAATGGCAGCTGTCAATCAAACTGACTAGCAACCCTCAAAGTATTCATGGATTTGCAGCAAAAACGTTTAAACAGGTAAGATTAACGTTAATGCATTTCATGAGGAAGACATTTTTTTAGTCAGATCTGGTGTAAAGTGAAGGCTGTTTATCACATAATGTTATAATTCTAGCTAAGTTGGCAACTTGCTTAAATCGGAGAACAGCAGCAGGGAGAATGTAAGCTAACGTTTGTAAGCTAGCTAACAATTCACTTTATTAAGCAGCATTCTCTATGAGCCCAACCTAGCTAAGGAGTGAACTGGGATTGAACTAGTAGAAATCAGGTTAAATGAGCAGCAGTAGCCCAAGAGGTAGAGCTGGTTGCCTCATGATTGGAGGGTTGTGGGTGCGATTCCAGCTCCCACCAGGGGTATTCTGCGATTGTATCCTTGGGCAAGACATTTCACCCGACTTGCCTGTGTTGGTGGTGGTTAGAGGGGCCGATTGCACAAAGTGGCTACATAGTAGCTTACCATCACCGGCAGTGTGTGAATGTGAGCGTGTGAATAATGAAAAGTGCTATATAAACCCAACCCATTATTATTATTATTATTATTATTATTATTATTATTATTATTATTATTATTATTATTATTATTATTATTATTATTATTATTATTATTATATTATTATTATTAATAATAATAATATAATAATAATAAAGAAAAACAACCTCAGTTGCCACTTTTGCTTTCTGTTCAATACAGCAGACGTCCACTAGGGTGGACTCATGCGATTAGGCGACGTAGGTGCACACGGTCAATACAACCTATTTCAGCATGGCAGTACAGCTAGTCAATATATATGTAATAATAAGGTAAACCTCGCAAACCATTGCTTTCAAAATAAGATTGCTTTTGATTGCTTCATATAATTTCCTATTTAACTGCCTTTTAGTTCTAATGCTGTTGTTGGGACATTGAATTATTATTAGCAATCAACTGAAACTATGATAAAGATAGATTTGGAAAAGAAAATATTCCTGTGTTTTCTGTGGAGAGTCACAAATTGCTTGAATTTGATATGAAGTTAAGAACCAAATCTGTGTTTGAAGCTTGTCTCCTATATGTTGTACAGGCTTGCAGACTACATATATCAAGTACATTGAATTACAGAAACCAATACTTGTAAGTCTCCGTAGAGTATTTTAA